GAAGGGCCTGGCGGACATCCCAGGGGTGAAGGAGAGGATGTAGTGGGTGACGGGTTCTCCGGCTACGAGGGGCGTCCACACGGGCAGCGAGGTCGTTGAGGCGTCGGCAGCCTGGGGAGACCTGTGCGGAGGCGATGAAGGTTACTGCGACGCGTCAACAAATTGGACACATCGGATTCACTTTTATAGCATATACACGAAGAAAAGCCAACCCAGTCCCCTAAAGCCACCCGCCCAGGCAGCGCGGGCGAGGCCAGGGGCTCACCCGGTGTGCACGAAGGTGGCCCACGTGAAGGTGAGCAGCGAGGAGATCTGCTGGTCCTGCGCCCCGGCCTGACCCAGTTCGTAAGGCAGGAAGAAAATGAGGGCGAGGTCATCCCCGTGAGACACGCCCGAGAGGATGTAGGGACTCCTCACGCCCACGCTGTCAGCCAGGCGGTACAAGGGCGCGCTGTAGGAAGGGGAACCGGGGAGGTGGTGTGTCATGAGGTACCTGCAGGAGAGAGAAGAGAGAGAAGGTGCGAGAAAACGGAGAAAAAAAAAAAATTGGAAGGGTTGTGATGACAAGCTCGTCTTATCGCCTCTCCTAAACTAACCCGAAGGAAGCAAGAAGACCTTTTGTGAAAAACAATGAACACCAAGGACAAAAATTGAGAAGAGAAGAAAAGGAAAGGAAACAGAAGAAAAGCTGGAAAGATACTAAGAGAGAGGAAGAAGGAGGGAGAGAGGGAGGGAGAAAGGAGGGAGAAAGGGAGGAAAGAAGGATGAAGGAGGAAGAAGGAGGAAGGAGGGAGAGAGTGTGAAGCCAAAAGACAATGAATGCACTCGAAGATGAGAAATGGCCTGGTTCCACTCCAGCTTAAGGCGCTCACGTGTAAACAGGTGATCTGGAGGAGGCGGCGAAGTAGGAGGCGGCGTCCCACACACACGAGGTGAAGCAGAGGTCTGTCATGGCCTGGAAGGAAGGGCAATAATCGTATATTTTTTTAGATTTTCTTAATCATGGTAATAATCATCATATGAATGATTCTTATCACTATTAAAATGACTGGTGTTTGGTTATTTTCTTTTCCAATCGAGGCAACTATCCTCACAATTCCCTCAGTGGTGCCAATAACAGAGGCATCATATATACTCATTAGTTTGTTTGTTTTTTCCACTGACTACAATACAAGTCACTTGCATTTTGAAATGAGTGGACATCCAAAGACCATCATGAGAAATAGCGTTTAAAAATAAATACAAATATAAACATATAAACATAAAATATATAAACATAAACATATATAAACATAAAAATATATAAACATAAACAAACATAGACATCAATAAATAGACGACAACACCATTCCCACCGACGCTTCAATATGCTCGCCTCACCTCACTCATCTCTTCAGCCAGTGTGCTGAGGTCGTCCTTGGCCTGCGCCGAGTAGTAGAACGCCTCGGCAGCAGCGGCAGCGGCTTCGACGTCGTCCTCGGTAGTGTTCGACCAAAGGCTCTCGAACACGTAGCGAGCCGCTTCGTCGTACGTCTGGCTCGGACTCCCGGCGCCCTCGGCGAAGATGGCGATGGCTGGGGGTTGGGGGCGAGGGGAGAAGGGAGGGGGGTTGGTGTTGTTATTGTTTTTGATGTGTGTTGTTGTTGTTGTTGTGTTTGTTGTTTTTTGGTTGATCATATTGAATTATCATTGTTATCATGTTATTATTATTATTATTATTATTATTATCATCATCATTATTATTATCATTATTTTTTCTATTATTGTTATTATTATTATTATTACCATTATCATTATTATCACTTTCATCATTACTATCGTCATCGTCATTATCATTATCTTTATGGCGAAGGTTTTACTTAGTCTGAAGAATGCGTTAGTGGTGATAACGAGAGTAATATGAAGCTAACAAGAGCAGCGGAAACGGTAACGATGTAATTGTTGTTAGGATTGTTATGAAAAAGGTATAATTGCATATGGTAATGGTCATGAAAATGGTCATTATAGAAATAATAGCAATGTTGATAATAATGATAATGATAATAATAATGATAATAAGGTGATGATAATGATGATGATGATTATGTTGATGATAATGCTACTAATATTGATAATGTGATGATAATGATGATGATTATGTTGATGATAATGCTACTAATAATGATAATGATAATAATAGTGATAATGATAATGATAATGATGGTGATAATAATAATAATAATAATAATAATATACAAATGACAACGAAAGTAAAACTTTATAGGCCATGGCTTGATAACCCTTATCATGTCTAGCACATTAATTTCGCTTCTAACCATTAACTAAACTTTCCTTCCATTTAAAGTCAAAATCATCCCACTGCTGTCCCTAGTCTAATTAGTTTGTCTCGGTGATTCCGACCACTTGATGATGATAATAATAAAAAAAAAGATAATAATAATAATGACGGCAATTAAAGTGATGATCATAATAATGATGATAATAATAATAGAGATTAAAAAAAATAATAAGTAATAATGATAATGATAATCCTATTGACGACAATGATAATAATAATCATAATAATCATAATAATAATCATAATAATAATCATAATAATAATCATAATAATTATATTGATGATAAAGATGGTGATGATTACGAAGATAACATAATGAAAACGACAGATAACGTTCAACGAATCACCAACTAAAAACTGACAGGACTCACTCAGGGCGATGAGGATGCCTTCGTCAGGAACTCCCCCGATAAGGAGCGGCACAGGCGAGGCTGGGGGCCGCGTCATGAGGACCCCGACAGACCCTGGCAGGAAGGGGTCCTCTCTCAGCCCCCCGTCCACCGAGGGCCTGAAGAGCATCGGCCAAAACACGTAGCGCTGAGGGAGAGGGAGGGAGAGGAGGGAAGGTGTAAATAGATGGAGAAATGTGCGAATGAATCTGTGTTCAGTGGGCATAACAACCAAAGGTCTATCGTTACAATAACAAAGTTTTAACGTCATAACAAAGTTTTAACGTCACAATAAAAAGTTTAACGTCACAATAACAAAGTTTTAACGTCACCAATAACAAAGTTCTAACGTCACAATAAAAGTTTTAACGTCAGAAAAACATCACAATAACAAAGTTTAACATCACAATAACAGTGTTACCGTCACATTAATATCACAATAACAAAGTTCTCCGTCACAATAACATATTACATGCATGTCCGCCTGCGCCTTGAGAATGTCCCGCGGCGACTTCTCCTCCAGGCAGTCCCTCATGCTGGACGCGGGCCACGTGGAGCAGCCCAAGTTCCGTGCCAGGTCGTAGGTGACTTCCCAGGGCTCCTGCGAGGTCGACCAAGGGCAGTTCCCGGCGCCGCTCATCATGATGGCGCCCGAGAAGAGGCCTGGGGAGGAGGGGGGTCATGTGAGGTCGTGGGTGGGGAGGGGAAGGGGGTGTAAGTGGGTGGGTGAAGGGGGTTACTGGGTGGATGAAGGGGCTACTGGGTGGATAAAGGGGGCTACTGGGTGGATAAAGGGGGCTACTGGGTGGATGAAGGAGGGGGTGGGAGTGTAAGGTCAAATGAAGAAGGGGAAGGTTAGGTTTGTGAGGTGGGGAGACCATGGCAAATCTGAACGTTTGCAGTAAGGGGTCTAAGTAGTCCAAATTTAATAAATTGGAATTACATGGTCTTGGATCCTTTCTTCTCAACCCGACCTCGCCTCACCTCTGGAGAGCGGCGACAGCATGTGGAGGTGGACGAAGGAGGCGCCCGAGCCGAAGCCCCCGAGCGTCACCCGGTTCGCGTCGCCGCCAAACTGGGCGATGTTCCTCTGCACCCACCGCAGCGCCGCCACCTGGTCTAGGGCGCCGTAGTTCCCCGCCAGAGTCGTGTCCCCGCTGCTTAGGAACCCTGTTGGAGTCGGAGGATCAGTGGGACCTCATCAGTTCTATTAAGCGCCGTTGATGACGTATATATATATATATATATATATATATATATATATATATATATATATTGTAAGTAATGATTCCGATCACGTGAGAACAACACAGGGAAAGCTATGACCGTTTTCTTCGTTAATTCTGAATGTTTTCTCCTGCTATTTACCAAGAGCACCCAGACGAAAGTTGGTCGTGACAAGGACGACATCCTCCCTCAGGAGCTTCTGCGGACCGAGAGAGGACGCAGCTCCTTTCAGGTACCAGCCGTCATGCAGAAACACCAATACTGGTAACCGCTCCCGTGCGTGACCTACGAAAGGATTTTAGAACGTAGTGAAGGATAAGCTAGGAAGCCCTTTTACATATTGGAAAGAATACTCGTGTGATCTATGTCGACACTGATTTAATAATGTAGAAGCTCGTGGTTAGATATTTTGTCCAAGTATACTGCGAAGATACAGTTTACTTCCTTTATTTATTTCGTCATTCGTGAAAAACCGAATTTATACCACGATCAGAATTCGATGACACACATAAAAAGTATGTATGGTGTCATACAGTAGTGCAGCATTGGATCATGTGTCTCATGCGTTCTGACCCAAAACAAACATAATTCCCATGCATTAAGTGGAATATACACCTCACCTGGCAAGAAAGGCGTGAACACATTGAGGAACAGGCAGTCTTCATCGCCGACGACCTGGTTCGCATCGTAGTCGTACTGGGGGCAGAAGGGGCGGTGCTGGGTGGCGTCCAGGCGACCTCCGGGCCAGGGCGCCTCCCCCAGCTCCTCCGGGTCCTCCCACCGTAGCCTCCCCGTCGGCGCCTGTGCGAAGGGTATTCCCCTGTGGGAGGAATCGTGAGGAAAGTAAATTAAAACCATCGCTTTTCGTGTATTTTAATCTGATTTTTTTTCTTTCTTTTTCTTTTTTTGTCATTCTGTTCCCCTGAAAATAACGTATTCTTACTCACATATTTTGTACTTTGAATGTCAAAGCATAATTCCTAACAAAAGAAATCAAAACATTTTTATTATTCAATGGGTCATCGTTGTTTTATCCATGACAATTCCACAAACCCGTCACAGTGCTACAACGAAACCCTAAACTACAACTCATGGCACCGACCTGAAGGCGAAGTAAGGTCTTCCTGTGGTGGGCGGGGACGTCGGCTGCTCCGTGAACTCCTGCGCGCCCGTGATGACGCCCAGGCTGGTCGGAAGGTCCACCATTTGAAACTCGACCCTCAAATCCGCCTTCACTGTATGAGACCCAGCTCCTGGTGACGAAAGTGCGGAGTTGGTGATGCTAACAGTGTTTCTATGTTTTTTTCTTTTCTTTTCTTTTGCATGGCTGACTATATGCTCACTAAAAATTGTTATTCGTGCGTATTACCAATTTGTTTGTATCTGTATAAAAGTATTGCACTTTATGGGAAGTATTGTAATGTGTTGGGCATGTACAGCAAAAATACTGCACCAATTTAATGATACTCTACACACTGTTGAGGTCTTTTCTTTCGTGCATTGTTTCAACATGGTGCAAGAAAGTACTCAAGAATAAGGCACCAGGAATTCACCAATTAACCATACTAATCTTAATCATTCACTAATATTTTTTTCCAGCTTCTATTTGGAAATAGCTTATAAATGGGATTATTGACGTAATCAGAGCACAAGATTATTAATGACCCATATACAGCGACATCTCTAACTGAATGTGCATGTATATACTACGCATTTTCCACATGTACACATTTAGGTGTTGGAATTTTTAAAGACAAACCTCTTTTTTCACACATTTCTATCGAAAATACGACACACTAATGGTGATAATGACACCAAAGTTGTTAATACTGTTGCTACTAATATTGTTAACAAAAAAGAGGATGGGGAAGACACTATTAACAGAAATAAACAGGTAGATAAATGAACAGGAACACGAGACACACATATCACCTGAGTTTAGAATCCTGCCTCTGCGAAATTGTCTCAATCCTTCTTCCCTTCCCGCTCCACCTTTCTCTTCCTCTTCTCCCTCGCTTCCTTCTGCCTTACTTACGAACGAAACAATAACCAGAGACAGGACGAAGAACGAAGAAAACACACGTAAGATCTTCATGATGAATTTCGAATATCAAAGTCAGTAAATTTATATATATAAAAAAGACCTTAATAGTGATTTAAAGATTCGAGTCCATATATCCCATTTCGATATATCCTACGTAACGAATCCTTGACACAACATGAACTTCAACAATGCCCAGTCCATATGGCACCCGACACAGTCAGTCACGCGCGACAGGTGTGGCAGTTGTCGGCACTGAGCAAAGACTGATACAGGTGCCACAACGTCAACCGGTAACCAGTAACGTTTACCTGGTATCTTTTTTGGGTTTTCTGGAGTTGCCTATGTAGTTCAGGACGAAGATCTCGAGAAATATATTTGCTTTATACTTTTCTTTCGTAATTGCAGGTGAAAAGAATCTATTCCTTGTGCGGTAGATATAGGTATAGTTAATATCTATCGCTTGTCTTTAGGTGTATTCCTAGAGTTTGTAGCGAGTGACGTAATCGCTGAACCTGCAGCCCTCCCCCGCCCCCCATAGTGCCAACATGTGAGGGCGGTAGGGGGGAGGGGAGGGGTGGTCAGGGGGGAGGGTGTAATTGTTCTACGAAGCCCATGTTCCGAGATCTTTTTCCCTCTCACTCTCTTTATTTCTCCTTCTATTTGTCTGTTTCACTCGTTTTTTTTCTTTTTTTCTCTCTCGTTCTCTCTCAAATCTTCTGGTTCTCGTTTTTTATTTAAATATTTGTCTGTCTGCTTGTGTATGTTTGTGTGCGTGTTTGTGTGTGTACATATATATATATATATATATATATATATATATATATATATATATACATATATATATATATATATATATATATATATATATATATAGTTATTAGTGCAAAGGGAATTTTTGTCCTTCCATTTACGTCCAGGGATGCCTTTGGGGATTTGATTTCGGTTAGGAAAAGGAAAACCTGCTCTGCTGATAACAACTACTCTTGCAGACGCTTCGGAGATGCAACCTCTATCATCAGTGCTAAAGGTAGATGCTACACTATATATATATATATATATATATATATATATATATATATATATATATATATATACAGAAAACACTTAACAAAGAATACAGAACATAAAATGCAAAAATGAACAATTCGTTTGTTTGTACAAATCAGGCCAGTTTAAGGTAACTAACCATTTAAGAGCTGAGTGATTGTTTGGTTGTGTATGTGTGCCAATGAGGTCTAGTTTCATGCCAATTATGTGAAGAGACTCTGCGACGATCAGGTCAGATCTGTGAGATGGGAGGTCAAGATTTTGAAATCAAAAGTATTAAAAGAGTGGTTGGAAGGCGAGAATACTCTCTGATTGCTGAGAAGGATGGTTTGCTCATAGCCAGTCCTGATAGACTTGCCTTTATGTTCGAGAATGCGGTGTTGCAGCCATCGTGAGGTTAAACCCACGTACCTTGCCTGACAGCTAGAACAAGTAAGGAAGTAGACCACATTAGAATATAATTTAGAGTTGCACTGTTTCTTACACTTTAGAAAATTACCAACAGTACTGTTATTGTGAAAAAAAAATCGGAAAACTAACTTGAGGGTAACATTGCTTGCTTAACGGTTTTGTTTAACGAGTTTCGGATTTCAAAACTAAGACTATCCATATATGGTAGTTTTATATATCTGATGTTTATTAAACTGTGGTAACTTCAGGCTTGTGTGAAAGCTTCTGACAAGGAAAACTATTGAGGACTTCATGAAATATGTGGGTTGGGTACTCATTCGAAGTAAAATAATTATTCAAATACATAGCTCCTGTATGGAAATTGGCCCATGGAGAATAAATATTTTAGGCTCGTCTAATAAGTGATTTCAGGCTGTTCAGTTAGTAAAGGTGAGGTATGAACAGTAGATCAGAAAGTGAAGTCCGAGGCCAGTGAACGCTGGTATCCTGTAGGTCTCTCTCTCTCTCTCTCTCTCTCTCTCTCTCTCTCTCTCTCTCTCTCTCTCTCTCTCTCTCTCTCTCTCTCTCTCTCTCTCTCTCTCTCTCTCTCTCTCTCTCTCTCTCTCTCTCTCTCTCTCTCTCTCTCTCTCTCTCTCTCTCTCTCTCTCTCTCTCTCTACACATACATATATGTATGTATATGTATATACATATACATACATACATACATACATACATACATACATATATACATACACACACACACACACACACACACACACACACACACACACACACACACACACACACACACACACACACACACACAACACACACACACACACACACACCACACACACACACAACACACACACACACACACATATATATATTATATATATATATATATATATATATATATATATATATATGCATTATTTGGTTATCTGTTACAAGACCTGCTACGTATTATGTTAAAAAGAGTTAAAAGCAAAGACTATGTTGTCTTTGGCAAAAGTTCTCGCACCTCCATCGATCTCCGAAACAGGAAATAAAACAATCAATAACATCTACATACAGAACCGCCGCCATTTTCGCCCGCCAGATCTAGGTTAGCAGCGCACCGAAAAAAGACAAAAAAAGGAAGGAGTGTTGATGTTGATATAATCCCAGTGGAGGTATTGTGATGACAGGGATCATGTGGAAGATATAGTGGAAGATGTTGTGATGATATGGTGATGTCGGGAATGTTGGTATTCAAGAGGCAGGAAGAGTAATGTGATGATAATGAGAAAGACAGAGACAAATGGTAGAAGAATGAGAATTGATTCTATCATTGTTCTTATCATCATTCATTGCAGTCATTAAGGTGATAATGATGATATTATCATAATTAACATCACTGTTTTTTACAAATTTATCAGCATCATTATTTCCCTTGCTATTTACTCCATTATTCCCAATATTGTCATAATGAATCTTGCTACAATCACATGATAGTCCTCATGGTGACGGTACAGCATAAATATAGCATTCAAAGAGCTTTTCAGTATCTTCTTGTTTGCAGTGTAACTAAAAATGCATACGACAGCATTTAAACACAAGTGAATGATAAAATTGTGTGATGAAAAAGAGAACATGTAAACAATTATCATATTTGTGTTCGTATCGGTTCCCGCGTGGCTTTGGCTCATTAAAATGCCCGAATTCTCTTTATAATTACAGTAATTATTCTAAATCCAGTTATAATGATTCTATCCCAATGCTTTCCATTTTAATTCAGTAAATTTATATAATTCCATATACAATATTTGCGTCAATTAGTGAAACCAGATGACTTAATAATACTATTCCTTATTCCTTTTTACACAGTTTTAACACATGATAAGAACGGTGTCAATGATAATTTCTTAATATCTTTATATTATAGTCCTAGTGATAATGTTCATATTAGCACTGATGTTCCTGCCTTCAAATTGACTGTCATTATCGTTGTCATTTTGAAATGATTGTCCACATTACTATTGTCATTATTCAAGTACTTATTTCAATTATGATATCTATGTCACTATGTCATTGATCATTATCATATATACTAGAATATATTTATGTTATCATTATTAGCGTTACTATTATCATTGGCATTATTATCTATATGATAATGATAATTACCCTTCTCATGACAGTCATTATAATTGTTATTATTGTTATTATCATTATTATTGTTGTTATTATGGGCATTTTATTAATGTTATTATTTTATTTTCATTCTCATTATCATTATCGTTAATAGTATCAGTAATATTATTATCTTTGTCATTTTATTGATAATAATTATCTCTATATAAAAAAAATAACTACGAAAAAAAGAAAATGAGATATACAATGTAAAAACAATGAACTGAATAAAAACTGCTAAAATCAATTTACACAGTTATCAAAAATCTTTGACGAATGGAAAATAAAGTAAAGTACTTGTAATTGCAAAACAATACACTAAACGCAATTTTAAATAGTAATCAAAACACATTACAGGGAAATGAAAATAAAACACAATGATTTTCAATTAAATGCTGTTACAACTTAAAAAACAAACTGTCCAAAATTTCTCGTATCAGCTGCGGCAGCCATGACCCTTTCAGCTGCTCCAACCCTGCCTTGTGCTCCTTGGCTGAGGAATATTATTGAATATTATTCAATTGTTATAGAAAGTAAAGTAGATTAACTACTCAATTTTATAGTCAATATTTTAGCTTTACGTTTGATAGAAAAAAAGAATATGTACAATTATATTTAGGTTGAAGGAGGCACAATTAAGATTTAATCCATTTTTCAGTTCCTACTGATTAAAAGACAGGAAATTTCGTGTGTTTCTTTTGACTAACAATGCATTGTGATCCTTCATAAACAAATTTCAAGTTAGATTATCTAAAATTGGTTTAGCAGATTAATTAATTTTGATTACAAAACATACCAAAGAAACGTTGTCGTTAAAATCATATTTGACTCCTAATTTTTGCTCACATTCACATTTTTGCTCCATAATGTCTTGGGGCCAAAATTTGGGGCCCCGATAACCTACACTTCTTGCCCCGAAAATATGGAATTAAGTCACTAATTCAAACCAATTTGGCTCTATACCGAGGAAGGTTTTATAGAGGAGCAACTTGCAATATACAGGAGCTTGCAATAAGCACCAAG